TTTTTGAGACAGGTCCACTGGTGCAGTGGTGTGATTACAACTCACTGCAGCCTCGACCTTTCAGGCTCAAGCCATTCTCTCACCTCAGCCCCCCAAATAGTTGGGACAACAGGCACCATCACACACAGCTAATTTTTGTATACTTTGTAGAGAAGGAGTCTCGTCACATTGCCCAGGCTGATCTTGAACTACTAAGCTCAAGCAATCCACCTCAGCCTCTCAAAGTGCTGGGATTATAGGAGTGAACCACTATGCCCGGCATCCATTACCATTTTAACTTACTTAAGCTTCTCCCATCAGAACAAAAAACAAAACCGTAATATTTTTTGACCTTTTATCTCTCTCAGCTACTGCCCTGTTCTTCTCATCTAACCTTCTTGAAAGAATTGTATACACTCCCTATTCTTCATTTCCCACTCATTCGTTGGTCTAGTGTCAGCTGCCTTTGACCACTAACATTCCTCCGCAAAGCCACTTACATCTAAGTCTCAGAAATCCAATAAACACTTTTAAAAAATTGAGATATGATTCAAATCTCATAAAATCCCATAAAATTCACCTTTTAAAGTGTACAATGTATTTTTTTTTTTTTTTTGAGACAGAATTTCCCTGTTGTTGCCCAGGCTGGAGTGTAATGGCGAAATCTCGGCTCACTGCAACCTCTGCCTCCCGGGTTCAAGCTATTCTCCTGCTTCACCCTCCTGAGTAGCTAGGATTACAGGCATGCACCACCACACCTCGCTAATTTTGTATTTTTAGTAGAGACAGGGTTTCTCCATGTTGGTCAGGCTGGTCTCCACCTCCTGACCTCAGGTGATCCGCCTGCCTCAGCCTCCCAAAGTGCTGGGATTACAGGCATGAGCCACCGTACTTGGCCACAATGTATCTTTTAAAATGTACAATGCAGTGTTTTTTAGTATATTCATAAATTAATGCAACTATTCCCACTGTTTAATTCCAGAACATTCTTATCACTCCTGTATCCTTTAGCAGTCACTACCAATTCCCCTCCCTACAGCCCTTGACAACCACTAATCTACTTTCCACCTCTGTGGATTTTCCTGTTCTGGACATTTAATATAAATGGAATCATATACCGTGTAACGTTTCGTGACTGGCTTCTTTCATTAAAGATAATGTTTTACCTAAGCTACCTTTAACTGGAAAGTTGATTTGTTGTAGTTATTGTAATTTTGTTATTTCTAAGCAGAGTTGGGCTCACGAGTGATCAATCTATGAAATAAAGTGTGTTAAAGGGAAAAAAAAAAGGATAATGTTTAATTTATTTATTTATTTATTTTTAGCTATATTTACTGGAATGGGATTTCTTTTTTAGTATAATGTTTTCAAGGCTCATCCATGTTGTAGTATGTATCAGCACTTCATTCCTTTTTATCATGCAATAATATTCTGTTGTGTGACCATACTCAGAGTGGTTATGCTATTTTATTTATCCATTCATCAGTTGCTGGACATTTGGGTTGTATCCACCTTTTGGCTATAATGAATAATGTTGCTATGAACATTCCGGTACAAGTTTTTGTGTGGACATATGTTTTCAATACTCTTAGGTGGAATTGTGGAATTACTAAGTCATATGAGAAGGAACTCCATTTAACCCATTTCCCGTTTGCCCCAAGAATACTTGCTAGTGGTGCTTGCAGCTACAGCATTTATGCCAAGATCACTTTGCCACAAAATATTGTTGTATTATTAATATATTATTAAATATATTAATATTTATTATTTTTGCATTGCTCTATTTAATGACTTTGGAAACAAAAGACATTCTATTTATAGCATTCTGTTTTTAATTGTATTTCCATTTGCAAAATATAGTAATTCTTGATCACTGAAAATATCAACTCCTGAAAAACATAGCATCATTCAAATGAATGTTGGTTGAAGATTCATTTGATGGATTTGATTTTTCTGAAATAGATGATTTTGATGATTCAGATGATTCTGATGTTAGTTCTATTTAGAAATAACTCCAAGAACAGTTTTTATATTTTATTTTTACATTGAAAATCAGTCAGATTTGTTTAGCCTCAAAGAGCGTGTTTATGTAAAATTAAATGAGCACTGGCAACAAGCTGCATTTTTTTTTCTAAGCTGGAAAAGGGTTAAATTTTGAGACAGTGACAAACTTTTCCAAAGCAACTGCACAATTTTACCTTTCCATCATTAATATATAAGAGCTCTAATTTCACCAACACTTGTGATTATCTGAGTTTTTCTTCCTAGCTGATCTAGCAGGTGTGAAGTAATAATCAATTTTGATTTTGAAGTTGCATTTTTCTTTCTTTATTTTATTTCATTTTTGAGACAAAGTCTCACGCTGTCGCCCAGGCTGGAGTGCAGTGGCTCAATCTCAGCTCACTGCGAGCTCCGCCTCCCAAGTTCAAGCAATTCTTCTGCCTCAGCCTCCTGAGTAGCTGGGACTACAGGCACATGCCACCACGCCCACTTTATTTTTTATATTTTTATTAGAGACGGGATTTCACCACGTTACCTAGGATGGTCTCGATCTCTTGACCTTGTGATCCTCCCACCTCAGCCTCCTAAAGTGCTGGGATTACAGATGTAAGCCACTGCACCCGGCCTGGGACTCCCTCTTTTTAAAATACTCTTTTCTGTGACTCTGCTCAATTACCTGGCATCATAAGAATTATGCCTGCTTTAGAGATTATACAAAGCACACCATAAACAAGTGGTTGTATCAGTATGCCTTAGTAGAATAAACACTGCCATAGGAATTATTATGAGAGGGGTTTTATATCATTTTCTATGAAGAATTTGGTCATATACTTTGTTGATCTTTTGTGGGGAAGGAGCTTGTAGATCTTTTTCAAATTATTATTTTGTAGGAACTCTTTAATATTAGAAAAATTAATTATAGATCTAGGCTATGAGTGAAACATGTTTTCTCCCCTGTTTGTTCTTTATTTTTAAACTTCCCACATGAAGGTTTTTGCCATGCAAATTTTTTTCTGGTTAATTTTTCAGTCTTTTATGACTCTTTGCCCTTGTATCATGTTGAGAAAGGGTTTCCACATTCAGACATACCAGAAAAAAGTCCTTCCATGGTTTTGTCTAACACTTTCACGGTTTTGCTTTGCATTTAAATCCTTGATCCATGTGGAATTTATCCTAAGGTAAGGTGTGAAATGTGGATCTCACTTTTTCCCCCGAGATGAATAATTTTTTCTTTTGCTTCACTTCAATTAATTGTCTAATCCTCCCTCATCCAAACACTTTTATCATATTCCAAATTGTCTTGTTTTAATATGTATTTCTCTACTAACTATTCAATGTAATTAATCTACTTATAACCAATTACCACACTGTGAAATTATTATTACTTTATAACATATCTTAATATCTTCTTTTTTTCAGAATTAGCTTATATGATAGACTTTAAATTGTCCCTATTAAGGAATAAATTTTGATCCAGGCATGGTGGTTCACACCTGTAATCTCAGTGCCTAAGGAGGCCAACATAGGAAGATTGCTTGAGCCAAGGAGTTTGAAGTTACAGTGAGCTATGACTGTACCACTGCACCCTAGCCATGGTGACAGTAAGACCCTGACTTAGTTTTTTGTTTTTTGTTTTTTTTTAAAAAAGGAGTAACATTGAAATCACATTGACTTTTAAAAAGAAAAAAAAGGAGGAGTATGTTTTGTCTTATTTCAACTTGTGAAAATATTTTTGAATCTTAATTCTAAACTAAAACTGTTTGCCATCTCTTTTTGCATAATCATATTTAATAACCATACCTGTAGATTTTTTTTAAGCTGTGATCTTAATCCAATCTAAGATTCTGAACCAAAAAAGGGCCAAAAAGGGAGTCTTGCAGCATCTCTTAGACCCTTATTACTCTAGGTGTGATCTGTGGTCCAGCCTCCCAGTATTTTTTGGTTATTATAAATCCTGAATCTCAGGCCTGAGATTAGTAACTCAAGCTTATTAATTTAAACCCTGCATTTTAACAAGACTCCCAAAGCAATTTGTATGCACATCAAAATTTGAAAGCAGTGTGCTATAGAGACTTCCCTCTAGGATAATAATCCATAGCCTTTGCTTACATTAAATTCACCTGGGGGAGTTTTTAAAAAATACTGAGGACTGAGTTGCAACCCCAAAGATTTATTTAATTGGCGCCTGGGGTTGAAACCCTTGGCATTGGTATTTTTACAAACTCCTAATTGCAGCCATGGTTGAGAAACCGTGCTTTAGGATTACAGCCTGCCATTGTCAGGGTCCTAGTTACTTTAAAACCAGAAAGAATGCCTTTATCATCTGATGAGGTGTCATCAGAAAACAACAGTGATCTGAAAACATCATCCCTGCAACTTGCATCCCCAGAACTTTTTAACTATTGCATCTGCCTGGCTTGGCTTTTTGCCTTGCCATTTGTTTGATTTCCTTAATGGACAACTCTTGTCTCCTGATAACTTAACCACCTCTTCTTCATCTTCATTCTGACACCTAATAAAATGTTGTGACTTGCCTACTCACTTTAATAAGGAGCCACAGATTTGTATCTGCCTGTGTTCCTGTTCTTCTGCCTTACATATACTTAAATATTCTTGTTCACAAACCTGATATAATTTGATCCCTTCTGACCGGGTGCGGTAGCTCACACCTGTAATCCCAGCACTTTGGGAGGCTGAAGTGAGTGGATCGCCTGAGGCCAGGGGTTTGAGACCAGCCTGGGCAACATGGTGAAATCCTGTCTCTACTAAAACAAAAGTTAGCTGGTGTGGTGGCACACAACCTATAGTCCCAGCTACTTGGGAGGCTGAGGCACCAGAAACATTTGAACGTGGGAGGCGCAGGTTTTAGTGAGCTGATTTTGAGCCACTGCACTCCAGCCTGAGCAACGGAGAGAGACAATGTCTCAAAAACAACAACTAAGTTTGATCTCTCTCCTACTGGTTGCAGCTTCAGTTTGGGAGATTTTTGTTCTTTTGTTCTGTTAAAATTCCATACTTACAGATAGTCTTATCACAGTGGCAGCTCATCTTCCACCATGGTGATTAATGACAGCATGCCATAGAATTCCTCTGATATGTCAACCCAGAAACCTTAGCAAAATAAAGGAAAAGGGATTCATTTTGAAGGAAATTCTAAGCAACCATGTTGGCTTCTTTTTTTTTTTTTTTTCCACTCTTGTTGCCCTGGCTAGTGTGCAATGGCACGATCTCGGCTCACTGCAACTTCCACCTCCCAAGTTCAAGCAATTCTTCTTCCTCAGCCTCCCGAGTAGCTGGGATTACAGGCATGTGCCACCACGCCCGGCTAATTTTATAGTTTTAATAGAGATGGGGTTTCTCCATGTTGGTCAGGCTGGTCTTGAAATCCTGACCTCAGGTGATCTGCCCACTTCAACCTCCCAAAGTGCTGGGATTACAGGTGTGAGCCACCTCACCCGGCCACCCATGTTGGCTTCTAATGATCACTGTGTACTTCTATAAATACACATAAGCCAATGCTTAATAAACTGCTACAGAATGTTGCAGGCTCTTGGATTCAAACTTTCCACCATGTGGAAAAGACTATTAGACTATTGAAAATTTGGAAAGTTGTCAGTCTACACTTTTCCAGAAACTAATCACTCCTACCTCATTCTTAACTTAATTTCTCAGAGATTACTAATGCTGGTTCTGAAATCACTGGGCGAATTCTTTCAGTATCGAGGTATAATTCTCCAGAGTCCTGGAGTCTTGAATTCTGTGGAAGAGAGAGATAACATTTATCATCTTTTCATGTATTATGGGCTTCTAGTCCATCTTACATTGTTCCTTTAACATACATAAAAGAAGCATCATAATGTGCTGAACTTGGACAAAGTTGAATAACCAAGGAGTTTACTTCTCATTTGGAGGGAGAAATATATCCCCAACCAATACAAACTGAATGTAATAGGAGTGAAATGGATTGAAATGGGGCAGATGAACTTCTGTGTGTGAAAATAGCTTGTCTTAAAGTTCGGAATGTCTAATACTGCACTGGTATTATAGATATGCAAAGTTTAACATCTGTCCCAGGGGTATGAACAATGTTAAGAGTTTTATCTGGGGTACCTAGAGGGCAGCTTCCCAGAAGTATTTTGATTTTTTTTTCCAGCTTGAAAATATTTCTTGTTGCTTAGAAGATGGAAACAATATAGTAATCAAGTTGCTGAGCTCTATTTTTCAGCTGCTAAAATTATATCATTTTCCTCAAAAAGTAGGTCAATTTCTTTTCTGAAGTATTTCTTCCTACAACCTTCTTTTATTTTTTTTGAGATAGGGTTTTACGCTGTCACTCAGGCTGGGGTGCAGTGGGGTGATCTTGGCTCACTGCATCCTCAATCTCCCGGGTTCAAGCAATCCTCCCACCTCAGTCTCCCAAGTAGCTGGAACTACAGGTGTGTGACACCACACTAGGTGAAATTTTTAAAAGTTTTTTTGTAGAGACAAGGTCTCACCATGTTGCCCAGGCTGGTATGGAACTCCTGGGCTCAACTAATCCTCCTGCCTCAGCCTCCCAAAGTGTTAGGATTACAGGCATAAGCCACAGTGCCTGACTTGCCTGGCTTACAAACTTCTAAAGAGTCTGCAGATGGAAGATAAAGACAATTTATATCAAGGTAGAGAAATAACAAGATAGCCATTTAAACATTTTGATATTATGATGTAAATTTTGGTTTTAGGGCATACAGTCTATGCTAAAGGCAGATTTGACTTTAGAAATATCGGTCCGGGCGTGGTGGCTCAAGCCTGTAATCCCAGCACTTTGGGAGGCCGAGGAGGGTGGATCACGAGGTCAAGAGATCGAGACCATCCTGGTCAACATGGTGAAACCCTGTCTCTACTAAAACTACGAAAAATTAGCTGGGCATGGTGGCATGTGCCTGTAATCCCAGCTACTCAGGAGGCTGAGGCAGGAGAATTGCCTGAACCCAGGAGGCGGAGGTTGCGGTGAGCCGAGATCGTGCCATTGCACTCCAGCCTGGGTAACAAGAGCGAAACTCCGTCTCAAAAAAAAAAAAAAAAAAGAAATATCTACCTGTAACATATTTTATGATCTGCCTCAAAATCTGCTTTTTCCAACTTAAGAACAGTGGTAGGGAAGAGAATTAATAATAAAATTTGCTCATGCCAGGCACCTATCTTATTTGATCCTCAAAACAACCCTCTGAGGTAGGCACTATTATTAACTCCATTTACAGATCAGGAAATAGGCAGAGACATTAACTGATATACACACACTGTTTAGTTGTAGCCATTAAGTGTCAGAGATAGAATTTAAATCCAAGCCTACCTAACTTCAGGGAATAAATGAGTGACCACCATAAAAACTGCTCTTTTTGTCTGTTGTAGTTCTTTGCTACACTATTAGGTAAAGCTCATCTTTCTACCTTTCTTCAAATTGCCAAGAGGATATTCCAGATTCAGACTTGAAATGATGCTTGGAAGCCCCTAAGTAAGCAAGGTAATCCCTATTGTGTGTCTGTGGTGGTGGTTTTTCTAAAGCCCCATGCTTTAGAAAATGGGGCTTTAGAAAGACATTGACATATAAAAATAAAAACCAAAAAAAGGGAGGGGCCTCTGTTCTTTGAGGAGAGGTTTATGGACTCATTTGTCCCCCCAGGACCTATTTGAATGTATGCTTTTTTTTTTTTTCTGTCCCTGGCATCCCTGCATGTATCTGAAACAGACAGAAATTATGGACATGTACCCTCCCCCAAGTACTCTATCTTACATTTTCAGATTTTGAACTCAATACCTGATTGTGGCCCATTTATTAGAATTCATATAATGAATAATAAAAAGAATATGTTTTTCTCTAATAATTTATTTAATTGTTCAGTAATTTCATCTTCTCTAACAAAAGGGATTAAAAGCATGCCATACCTGGCCAGGCATGGTGACTCACACCTGTAATCCCAGCAGTTTTAGAGACCAAGGCAGGAGGATTGCTTGATCCCAAGAGTTTGAAACCAGCTTGGGCAACACCGTGAGACCCCCCCCACCCCCTAGTCTGTATGCAAAAGAAGAAAAATTTACAAAACACACATACACCTTTACTTCACTATAAATTACAATAACTAACCTTACCACTTCAGTATTGGCTCCGCTACTAGTGCAGTGATGCAGTCTCGGCTCACTGCAACCTCTGCCATCTGGGTTCAAGCCATTCTCCTGCCTCAGCCTCCTGAGTAGCTGGGATTACACGCATGTATCACCACACCCAACAGATTTTTTATTTTTAGTAGAGACAGGGTTTTGCCATGTTGGCCAGGCTGGTCTCGAACCCCTGACCTCAGGTGATCTGCCTGCCTCGGCCTCCCAAAGTGCTAGGATTATAGGCATGAGCCTGGCCATGACCAAGTTTAATAGAATGTTGAGATTATACTACTGTTTTCCTGTAGGTTACTGGTTTTTAACTGCTGAAAGGAAAAAGCCAGTAAATAGAACACAGTCACAGCAATATGAAATTCAGCCTATAACTTTCCAACAGCCCCCCCAAAAAGGTAATTATTTAAATATTTTTTAGCTATTTATAGCTTTTGTTGTCTGTAACTGTATTTGGCATTTAAGACCTGACTATCTTATTTGAATACTGTTTGGAATCAACTGTGTATAAATTACTCCAGCTTTCTTTTGAAAAATTATGAAATAGGTGAAGTTGTTTTTCCCATGAATCCTCCATTCTTCTTCTTCTTCTTCTTCTTTCTTCTTCTTCTTTTTTTTTTTTTTGAGTTGGAGTTTCGCTTTGTTGCCCAGGCTGGAGTACAATGGTGCGATCTCGGCTCACTGCAACCTCTCCCTTCAGGGTTCAAGCGATTATCCTGCCTCAGCCTCCCGAGTAGCTGGAATTACTAATTTTGTATTTTTAGTAGAGACGGGGTTTCACCATGTTGGTCAGGCTGGTCTGAGCTCCCGACCTCAGGTGATCAGCTTGCCTCGGCCTCGAAAAGTCCCGGGATTACAGGCGTGAGCCACTGCGCTTGGCCTGCATCCTCCATTCTTCCAGGCTCTTGTGTTCTTTTGCAACTCCCAAACTGCCTATTGCTATCCACTGCAGACTCACTAGCCTGGCAATTGCCCTTTCTTTCCCTTTCCTCACAGAGCTCCCATGTCTTGTTTTCTATGGGTCTTGTACAAGTTGGTAACTGATTCACATTTACATATTTATGACTATGGGGAATTAGATGAGGTTTGGGAAAGACCTCTCCCTGCAGCTTTGAAATTACCACCTGGGCAACAGCTTAATTAGCTTATCTCCAAGAGTGTTCCTAATCAAATTAATTGACAAGTTCTGTACAGTGAGAAAGATTATATTGTTTAAGCATGAAGTAGTTCTTTATTTAGGGAGCCATCATTTAGATTTGTGTCTTCCATGAGGAATTTTTTTTTTAATCCAGAATCGAAATGAGCATTAGGAGACTACTTCCAAAATCACAGATTCAGAAACTCATCTTTTTTTACTAGCTTTGTTGCTGCTGGATATCCTATATACACTCTTTTTTTCTTTTTTTTGAGACAGGGTCTCACTCTGTCACACAGGCTGGAGTGCAGTGGCATGACTTGGCTCACTGTAACTTCTGCCTCCTAGGTTCAAGCGATTCTGTGCCTCAGCCACCCAAGTAGCTGGGATTACAGGTACATGCCACGAGGCCCAGCTAATTTTTGTATTTTTAGAAGAGCTGGTCTCAAACTCCTTGCCTAAAGTGATCCACCTGTCACAGCATCCCAGAGTGCTAAGATTACAGGCATGAGCCACTGCACCTGGCCTACTCTTTTCAATTAAATAAATTTTTTAAAAATTTCCACATGAATATGAACATATATTGTGCATCATTTAGTAAACATTTTGCTCATTTATTTTGCTTATATAAATGGTGACCAAAACTTTTTGACCAGTAACTATACTTTTAAGGGTGCAGACAACGATGTTCCATTTTCGTTATTTGGTTAAATTGTAAACATTAAATTGTACCTATATTTCAGAACTTAATGAATCAGAGATAAAACTCAAGTAATTTGATGAACTCTACTTATTCTTTCTGATTCATATAAAGTAGATTTTTCTGATTATTTGTGGATTCTTCATGCATTTGTTTATGTGTATGATAATTATTCAGTTACTAATCATGGGTTTATTAGGCATGTTTTATAGACTTACCATTTTAAGAGAAATATATGATAATTTTTTTCTAAACAAAAAAAAGGACACATACTCTGACAAATTTATCTCTAGTGACAATGTTTCTGAATCACAGAATAGACTATTCTTCAAAATCTAAAACATAATGTTGCAAATATATCAATTACTGAACAAATAAAGTCATTGTATAAGACAATGATAAAAAGTGATTTATTGAATACGTAAGATGTGTCAAGCACTTTATATACATTATACCTAATTTTTATGGCAACCTTGCAAGATGGCTGATATTATTTCCAATTTATAAATACAGAACCTAAGATTTAGGGTGGGAGTGGAGAGAGAGGGTTATGTAACTTGTCTAAGATCAAATGGCTGGTCTGTGCCAGAGCTGGGTCTCAGATTCAAAGCTGGTCTAACATCAAGGCCTGTGCTCCTTCTCTAACAGCGTATTAACTCAAATAACTTATGATGTCCAAGTGAGTCCTAGCATACAGATACTTGTGGCTAAGAAAGGAGAGAGAGAGAAATCCGGAGTGAGTCAGATAGACCTGGGTTGAAGATTGGCTATACTGTCTCTATCACTTAACTGTTGTATGACTTTGAGCACGACATCTTCTCTGAGCCTTCATTTTCTTCTGAGTAAAATGGGCTTAGTAATACTCAGAGGATTAAAAGAGATATTGTATGCATTGCTCTTGACACAATGCCTAG